GATCTCAGAGTTGCATAATCTAGAATTGCTTCATAAGAAAGTGTCATTGTTGCTTAGACTTCATGGTATTATGCATCTTAAACAGTCTTAATTCTATATCCCCACCTTAACCTCATTGAATATATTTTTTTACTGTTACTTATTCTGCTTATGAAGACATACTTTTTCTGCATACCTATATCTATTATCAGTGACTGGTCTTGAACTTTTAGCTAACATCTTAAATCTTAGAGTTTTTCAGTTTTCTGTGTAGATAAACCCTCTTCGTTTTCCTTAACTTACCATTTATAACAAAGGTATTGATATAACAAATAGCATGTTATATTTTATATACCTGATCTACAACCTGATCTACCCATGAAGAGAGCTCAAGAACTCATACCCGAATATTATTTGGCTGAGAAGAGACTGGAGTGAGGATGGGGAGAGATATTTTGGTAGCAGAGTCAAAGTTACATTCCCCTCTATGAGCTACAAATTGCCAAGATCTTCAGTCATGGGTCCGACAGTTCTCAAGGCACATGTTGGATCTTGCAAATTTGGTCCAGAGGGAACTAAAGAGATTCTCTAAATGGTAGGAAAAGCTCATATAAGCAGTAATTTTCCCCCAACAGTTACCAGCCTATAAGGTCTATGTCAGCTGATGATTTCCTTGTCCACCAACTTGCAGGCAAAAACCTCTGTTGTCTCGGGATTCAAACCTTCACTTTTTTCGTTATGAGACAACACTGAGATTGTTGACCTACTTAGTTCATAGATATGTGGCCATTTATTATTCTTTTTTATTATTCAACAGACTTGAGTAAACACGCTATGAGGGACCCAGCAGTGACTTAGATGCGCTGGTGCTACTGAGGAAGACAATGACCTATAGCATTTTCACTTATGTCTTGGCTATCACAATAGACATAACCAGGAAATGGAACCTGTAGGGGAAGGCGAGGATGAGAGAAAGGGTTGACTAGAGGGGATGGGAAAGGAGAGTGGCGATTGATCTCTGAGCTGGGAAGGGGGCTGCAATGGTGGTTGCAGATCAGGTCCTCTGCTATCACCAATGTTGTGCCACTATGGAGTGAAAGGATCACAGGCTCATCAGAAGCAGCAGAACAAATTTTCCTGTTAAGGATTCAAGACTGGTTCATTTTCATTCTGAGCACCTGGACTAACTTTGATCATCCAGGGGGTATAGAAAGAGGAAAAGGTGGAAGAAAGAGTCCACTAGTTACCAAGTCCTCTTATTCCCTGTCTTTATTTACCAGCCTTCTCTGAAGATTCCACTGCTTCCAGTCTAGCTTGGGTCCTCTCTGCTTCTATTCTGTATTTTGGCTATAGTCTCTTGTCTTTGCTCTCTCCTTGCTCGATGCATTTTATACTTGCATTATTGAAGCTCCCAGCAGGGAACACACAGCACTCTCAAACTGGGTTGTTTGAGGACAGTTTAATAAGGGGGCTTACAAAAGGTCTAGATAAGATGTAAGGAGACCATAAGAAGCAGTGTAGCAATGTGTTGTAGCTACCCATAGTTCTTTAGGGGAGAGGATGATTACTAGAGTCTGGAAAGAGAGTTATGTGGAAGGGCTCCCTTCAGAAGTAATCTTTGATCGAGGGTCATAGCCAATCCAAGGCTGCCCTGCAGTGAGGTCACGGGGAAACATATACCCTCACCTCATTGTCCTTCCCTCCATCACCCTGTGGCTGCTCTGCGTTGACTGAACTCAAACTTAAGTGGAGGACAAAGGAACCCATTGAGGCAGTGTGTATGGTACAGCAGGCATAGGGCACAGAAGGTTGGAGAGTGGAGTTGAGGGACAATGATATCCATAGCAGTACTGCTCACAGACTTGGAAACTAGGCAAGGGATTTGACTTTCCTTGGGGGTGACTGGCTTTGGCCCTCTCTCATGTCTTCTTGATCTCTTTTGATTATATCTGTAAGCAATACCCTTGTTGACTCCCAGCTGTATTTCTCCTAGGAACACTGTGCTATTAGTCATCTTAATACCCCTGTGGGTCAGGCTTTCTTGGCTCCCATTGTGGTAATGACATGCACTTTGTTTCTTTTCTTTTCTTTTTTGGGGGGGAGTGTCAAATTCTCTCACTGTCACCCAGGCTGGAGTGCAGTGGCATAATCACAGCTCACCGTACTCTCCACTTCCAGGACTCAGGCGATCCTTCTGCCTCAGCCTCCCGAGTAGTTAGGATGATAGGCCTGTGCCATCATGCCTGGCTAATATTTTCATTTTTTATAGAGATGAGGTCTTGCTATGTTGCCCAGGCTGGTCTTGAACTTCTGGGCTCAAGCATTCCTCCTGCCTCAGCCTTCTAAAATGCTGGGGTTACAGGCATGAGTCACCGCTCCCAGCTGCCCTTTCTTTCCTTCCTTTTTTCTTTCTTTCTTTCTTTCTTTCTCGCTCTCTCTCTCTCTCTCTCTCCCTCCCTCCCTCTCTCTTTTAGAAATGAGGTGCTTCCGTCAAAGTGTCTCCTACCTCAGCCCCAGCTTGTACAGAAGAGATGCCACCAGACTTCTCAGGGACGCTGGTGGTCCTCTCACTAGTACGTTCCTTCCCACCTTAGTAAAAGGGTGTTTTCTTGATCATCCCTTGGTGATCCATCATATCAGCAGTTGGATCTCTGAAATTACTTAGTACAGGGATTGACAAGGTTCCTCTAAAAAGGGCCTGAACGAACATCTTCTAGGCTTTATGGGCCATCTGGTCTGCTGCAACAATTTATCTCTGCCATCATAGTGCAAAAGTGCTATAGACAATATATAAATGAATGAGTATGGCTCTGTTCCAATAAACCTTTATTTATAAAAACTGAAATTTGAATTTCATATAATTTTTATGTGTCACGAAAGATGACTTTTTTAAAAAGAGTTTTTCCCCCCAACCACTTAAAAATGTAAAAATCATTTTTGGATCATGGGCTGTACAAAACCCAGCAGTAGGCTGGATTTGACCCATCGCCTCAATTTGCCAATCCCTGACTTAGTAGGCTCATTCTAGCATTTTCACTTCTCTGAGCATTTTGTTTCCTTTGTCCACAGTTTGCCGAAGCCATGTTGGTATCTCTATTGATAGCAGCATATTAGACTTATGCCCTGGGGCCCTGGCAAGAGTGCTCAAGCCAGAGTCTCCCAATATTGGCACGTTAGCCTTCAAACAGTCTTAGGTTCTATCCACTCAACCACAATCCATCACTTTCAGAATTCATTCCTAGGCATCTGGTCCCAGTTTCTGCCAGTAGATGTTAGCCACGTCTTTTAGTATGAAACCTTTCACTTCCCTTAGCAGCCCCAGCATTTCCTCAGATAGTGCTGAGATTCTTTCAGTTTTGATACTGTTTGCTGTGCACATTCACATGGCCCCTTGCACCACTGCCGGCCCCTCACTCCCGCCTCAGCTTCCCTGCTATATTTGTGCCCTGCTGGGCTTGACACTATTGGATGCTGGTTCTGGTGTTTCCTGTCTTGGAGACACTGGGGAGTGGGCAGAGAGGGATCTGGTGTGTGTTTGCTGCTGTTATTTGCTAAGCCTGTGGCTCCTTGTGATTCTGTCATTCAGACCTGTGCTGGGCAGGTGACCTGCTTTAGAGGAGACTCCAGTGAGTCCGAGAAGGTGTCAGCATCACATTGGGATACCATTAGGCATTTCTTCTGTCATCTTACTGGTGCCTGCCATTCTTTGAATTCCATGTCTTAGCAAGTCCTCACCTATGATGCTCTCATGTGGGTGTGATGGCTGACTTCACTCTCTTGACTTTACTAAGCACATTTCCCTGTTCTGTCCTACTGTCCTACAAATGCAATTGCAGTTATCTGGCCATGAAGCCCTTCTTTGCTTTGGAAAATCGGGTTGTTTTAGGTATGAGCTGCAGAAGAATGTGTGTGTGTGTGTGTGTGTGTGTGTGTGTGTGTGTGTGTATGTGTATACACCTGCATTTCAGTCCTAAGATATTTATTGAGCATCTGTCATGGGCTCTGAGGTTACAAAGAGGAATACAGCATAGACCCTTTCCTCATTTAAATAAAATGTAAGAAATTTACAAATTCCCTGTGCATCCCAGGAGAAGTACCCTTCCTATACACAGTGGAAGCCATTGAGTGTTTTAGGTAGAACTATGGACAGATCTGACTTCTAAAAAAATCACTTTGCTGGTGGCTGTGTGGAGTTGGACTAAAAGAAAGTAGGAGTCCCGAAGCAATGAGGATGCAGTCCCAGTGAACCAGGAAGGGAAATGTAGGGGCAGAACAGCTTGTGGGGGAGGGATGTTGTGGTTTCCTTTGAGACAAGCTGAGTCTGAATTTGCTGAGGGTCGTCAGGCGGTGATGTCCAGTGAGCTGGGATATACCTGGGTCGGGAGCTTAGGACAGATGCCTGGGCCAGTGTGGATAGCGATTTGGGGACCTGCAGGGGATGGATGGTGGCTGTAAGATGTTATGGATGTAGATATGGATAGAGTAGCTTAGAGAAAGTACTGAGTGTGAGAATGTCGGGGAACCCTACGGTGTGGAAGCAGATGTACAAAGAGAAAGAGGATGAGCCTGGCTGAAGACCAAGTGGGGATCAAAGGAGGAGCTGGGGAACCAGGAGAGGGAGACCATAGAAGCCAAAAAGGAAGAGATTGGCAGTGTCATATGCAGCAAAGAGGAAAGACAGTAGAGAACGAAAGCGGCCCCAGCAGGCTTAGTGCCTAGGATGTCATGAGGTGTGTGGTACCTTGTGGGTGTAGCAAGTGTGGTTTCGGTGGGGGTGGGGAAGTGGTCAGTATTGAAACCCAGCTGAAATGAGGCTGAGCAATTGAGGGCAAAGGAACTAGTGTTGGTGAGAACCATGGTTTTCCTGTCATGTGTGTGTGTGTGTGTGTGTGTGTGTGTGTGTGTGTGTGTGTGTGTAAGAAAGCAAGAAGGACAGCATTATAACTCTCTAGGTGTGTTATATTAGAAATAACTTTTCAATAACATCCTCAATACTCACTTTGTAGTTTGTTTGTTTTTAGAGGAAATCTCTCCAAACCCGTTATGTGGAAAGTGACTTCAGAACGCCGGCTGGACAGGAGGAATGGGATTCCAGCATTCCCTTGGGCCCTAGAACCTGTGTCCTGGTAGAAGCTGCCCCTGCCGGACTCTGCGAGGAGCAGAGGGATGACTGCGCTGAGCCACATGACTACTTCAATGTCCTGAGTTACCGAAGCCTTGGGAGCTTTAGCTTCCTGGTGGAGACTGGTTAGCAGCCAGAGGCATCTTCTGGAAGATACATAATGTCTTTGCTATAGAGATGGACGTATAAGCAGCTGTCCTCTCCCTCAGTCCTGTGTGTGTGTGTGTGTGTGTGTGTGTGTGTGTGTGTGTGTGTGTGTGCGCGTGCAGTCAAGTGAATGGGTGCCATTCTCTTCTCTATCTTCCTTTCTCCATCCTTCCCTTCCATTATGGCAGACCAGGGTTGAGAAGCATGCATCTTGATCATGAGTGCAAAGTTAAACAAACAAACTTGACCTGATTTTGAATCTGGCAGTTTGAGCAGATCCTGTGACTCTGAGAAACACATTCCTCTGGGCACTGGGTAGGGTTTGGGCTACAAGGTTTTGTGGTGGGTGATGAGGATGGTGTGATGACAGACCCACCCCCATCTCATTTTTCATTGTCATTTTCATTAACATTCAATCATTTAAGGCATCTCACTGAGGGGAGATTTCGAGGATGACCAAACCTTGGTCTCTGCCCTTAGGAACTTACACGGGTAAGTGAGGGAGACAATATTTACATGAAAAGGTAGCAAGGAGAGAGAGATACAGGACACAGGCCCTCAGGAGGAGATGTCAGTTTGGGGTGAGATGGTCACGATAGGCCTGGAAACTTGAAAGGGACAATGAGGCTGGTCTGGGAGCAGCAGCAATTTTGTTGGGGAACTTGTAAGATCTAAAGTTGATGGAGCTGAAACTTCCACAAGGAAGGATCTGGCACCAAGGGAGCCAACAAACTTCATATGCTATTCTCTAGGCAGGTATTCCAAGTCTCCTTTTGTTATGATGTACCCAGAGTCCATTAGTGATGGTCTGATGCACAGCATTCTGGGCTCCTCCAGCTGTGTGTGCCTGGGAAGCCCACAGGAAATTCGTGTGCCCACTGAGGGAGCCAAGTCTTAGCATTTGGGCCTTGGTCCATCTTTTCTGGATCAATCTACCATTGAGTCCTTGAAAAAATAATCTGTTTCCCACCAAAAAGAAAATATGAATTTTTTTAATAATAGGACCTCTTCTTAGGCAAAAAACGGGGTGGGGGGGAGGGTATGATAGAGGGTTTTAAAAACAAACACCTTCAAACTAACTTCTTTGAACCATTTTATTCATTCCCTGATCTCTTTGCACTAGGGTTGGGATAATTGAACTGCTCATTTCTGTTTAACTGCATTCAAACTGAATTCTAAAAGATGTTTATCCTTTCACCATCTTAGAGGAATGAGCAGGGAGATTGGATGTAGTGATGACTGATCTTATCTTATGGGCACAGGAACTGAGAGAGAATGGGAAGCAAGGCCATGTTTGCCCACAGTTAAAATAAAGCATTGCCCAGCTCCCTAAGATTCAGGCTGGAGTTGGGTAGAAGACAACTCAACTCCTCCCTGTCCTTGAATTTTTATTTTCCTCACTTTACCAAATGGGTATGTAGTTATGAGCAATGAACTGAAATGTGTCCAACGTCCTTTGGAAGAAAGTGTGTTTTGATTTGGAGAAGATGGATATTGGGCAGAAGTTGGACTGAGAGGTGGGTGTTATTTAACATAACTATGGTAATTAGGAAACATTAAAAAATACTACTGAGATGGTGATAAACTACAAAAGGGCCTATAGATGTTAGGTTGGGTCAGGTTGATAACATGAGATTCAGTTTGACAGGAAATAAATTTTAAAGTGGAATTCACTGAACTAGATTCTTCTCCGAGAACCAGACAAGACAATCCTCTAAAAGCCAGATTTCCGGAGACGTGCACTGCCCAGCACAGTGGCATTTTCCATTTGTAGTTATTGACCGCTTGGGATGGAGCTAGTCAGAATCAAGATGTGCTGTGCTACAGGTGTAAAATATGCCTCAGACTGCGAAGACTTCATATGACTAATAAGAATGTAAGCGATCTCATTAGTAATTTTGAGATATTGATTATATGTCAAAATGGTAATATTTTGGATAGATTGGGTTAAATAAAATATATTATTGAAATTAATCTCACCTGTTTCTTATCTTCTTAACGTGGTTACAATGGAAAATCTGGAATTGCATATGTGGCTCTCATTATATTTCTCTTGGACCATGGAGCTCCAGTCTGTAAATCCAAGCCAAGTTGGTACCCAGGGGAGAGAGTCTGTCTACGTTTGTTGGTCTCTGTCTCTTTCTCCTTCATTCAAAATAGTATCTGAGGAAGCTTCTCCTTCTTATGCCTTTTGAGAAACATATAGGGAAGGTTCGCAGGGAAGACTGAGGTAGGGACCACCAAGTGCCAAGAGAAAGAAATCCCAAGCTCTCTTATATCCCCGCTTGGATTCCCGAGCAAGAGGAAAGGAAAATAAATCAATCTGTGAATGAGTGTTCAGGGAGGAATACATTCACTGATCCCTTGCCCACATGCTGAGGCTGGGTTTATAAATCTTAACTATCCTCCAGAGAATTATACTGAACAATTATGAGAAATTCGAGTCATGGAACTTTGAGATAAATGGTCTTCAAATAGACAGGCCCTTACAATTTTATTTCATGCCTTGCCTCTTCTCACCCTATGAGCTCCCCAAATGAATCATCACACACTTAGGTTCAAATAGATTCCACCAGTGCTGAGCTGGACAGGCCTGGACACGGTGTGCCCACCACTGTGCGTTCACACCACACCCCACAGAGGGAAAAATAGGAAGTATGGCTGTGACTGCCAGCTGTGGGGAGTGAGTTTTGTTCAGTCTTTGTATTTGTCCCAGTCCTACTTCATGGCTGTAACTAGTAATTTCTCACCCTTTACTCCAGAGCACATCTGTCAAGACGCCCAGGGGAACCTTATGTGTAGCAAGAGCCTGAACTTTCTGGAAGTCAGAATTATATACTTGATGCTTGAGAGAATTCATTTGTATAAGGTAGTGCAGGACAATGGTGTCCAATAGAACTTTCTGTGATGATGTGTCATCCAATATGGTTACCACTAACCACATGTGGCTGTTGAGCACTTGAAATGTGGCTAATATGACAAAGGAAATGAATTTTAAATTTTATTTAATTTTAATTAACTTAAGTTTAAATATAAAAATGTGACTGAGGACTAGTATATTGGACATCACAATTCTAGTAATTACCTTGCATATGGATATAAAAAACAGAGAGCTGTGTTTAGAGGACACTAGATAGCTCTCCAATTGTTATGCATTTGGAAGGGTTACCACCAGAAAGAAACACGGTTCTCTTCTATTCTCCTGTGTCCTTTCCATGGTAAAACAAAGCATGAGGTCAAAGTAGGCTGTGCATTTATTTATTTCAGGCTCTTTCCAAAAAGTATCTGAGGTAGCTAAATGGTCTAGGTCATGTAAACAGGGCCAGGACTGTCAAGAAGTTTGCAACTCATAGTTGTTAAGTAGGAATACACTTTCATCACAGGATGTACCCTGGACTATACTCATTCTGACTTCATGTAGGTTGTGAAGAGCACCTTCTCTGGGACTAAAACTCTAATGGATTTCACAGAGATCGAAAGAGGAGTAACCATGGAGTGTAGTGGACTGGGAATTTGGATACTTGGATCAAGTGCTGGGCACGGCAATTCGCTTCTTGACTTTGGATACCTACTTAAACTCTCAGGGCCTCATAACAAATATTCCCTTATCTGTCAAATGGTAATATTAATACCTTTTAAAGGTTCTTAAGAGGATGTGGTTGACTGCTTCATAAGCTGTAAACTGCAGAATTGACATTACTATTGCGGATGTGCGCCAGGCAATACTTACGATGCCACAGAGGTCCCCAAGGGGGCAGCAAAACTTGTTGGGAGTACGTGAGGTGTCTGAAATTATTTAACAATGTCTTTAAAAAACTAGAATGTACAAAAAACTAAGAGTTGCAGATATACCCTTGGGGTTCACAAATTCTCTTTAAGCGTTTAGCGATTTTGTGTTTTAAGTGAGATGAGATGATCATCTTTTAAGAAGTCAAACATACTCTGGATATTGATGACCTTCTTATAACAGGGTGCTACCATTGTTTTTTGGTTTTCATGTTTTTGTTTATAATTAAGTTGATTTCAAGACACAGACGCTTACAGTAGAAATGATTCATTTCCTCTGGGCAGGGAAGCAGTGGGATATTTTGCAATGGTTGAAATACTGAGAAAGTGGTGGGAAAATTGTCTTCCCTTTGCAAACTGTCATGTAGGGATGCTGCATTCAGAAGGACGAGTGCCAAAGCACACAGTGCACTTCACTCTGAGCCATGACTTAGATCCACAAAGCATCATTCAGTACCTTCATGTTGTTCTTGTAGACATTCAATTATGTAGCTTTATCTGTATTTAACTTGCAACTTTATTTTAGTTTTATAATTCTGCAAGAGATATAAACATAATAAGTTTCCTTGGTGTTACATTTGAGCATATATAAGAATGTTTATAATAAAATAATTATGCACTATTTTATTACTAAATGTTATGATAAAATAATCATAGACTCCCTCTCATCGAGGAGCTCTGTGAGAAGTATTTTTTTCCCCTTCATACGGGCGTATACATTACTCAAGTTTGAGAAATACTTGTGTGGCATAAATATTGGATTTCAGAAAACCTGACTTCAAGCAGTAGTTTATTAATTGTTGTGTATTGAAAAAACACATGTTTCTGAACCTGTGTCTCTATAAACCAGTGTAGTAATAGCTACATCACAGTGTTCACAGTGTAATTTTGAAGACAGATAAAATATATGAAGGAGAAACTTTATAAACTGTGAAGTGCTATGAGTAGTGTGTGCTATTTACAATTATTAGGCCCTATAGATAAACCACACCACAATGTTTTCAACAGGTATAGAGGAGGCCTCAAGAGTGTGTGAATGGTGCAAAGAGATCAAAGACTGGTTGAAGTTGGCTGGATTTTTTGAGATGCTGGTTCACAGAAGTCAGATGGGGACAAATTAGGCACCATGAAAATCTTCTCTTTCTCTTTATTTTACACTTCTTAGAACATCAGGGTAACTTAGAAGTTCAGTGATTG